GGCAGGTCGGGTCTGCTGGCCCTCCCTACAGGTGGTGTTTTTATCCAGTTGTAATTTAAGCACCTCAGGCCATCCAGTTTGTCGGTCTTGGCCTGTATGGGGGTTTGAAGATGCTCTTGAAGTAGCACCCTCGTTAACTTCCCTGTGTTGGGAGTCTGCTTTCCTGTCGCTAACTGACAGGATGTCTCAGCAGGGTTACTCCTGTTTGCTTCTGCGTGTTCAAAATACGCATTGATCTAAATATTGGGTAAAACTGGGTTTTGAGTGCATGAAGGTTGGGCTGATTCTCTGTTCCTGGTTGGTAGGTACCTCATTTTTTTCCTATGTTATTTGCGAGGGTCCCTCAGACTGAGACTCTCAGTGAGAGCTTTAGAGAATGGTTTGTCATCCTGCTATTGTAGGAAAACTGCAATATGATTCACATTCACAGTGTAATTCACATTTTACAAGTGCTTTTGCTTCTGTTAAAACATGCATAACATGTCAGAACTCTTGTATGGCTAGGACTTACCAGGCTCCTTTGTGTATTGGTGGGCTCCATGGCCTGTTTGATGCAGGGCAGTTGTAGACAGTATCCCCGAGTTCCAGAGGAAAGTCGGGCCTCTTTACTCACCTGCTGCTTGTGTGAGATTGCTGCCTGCCTCTCTCTCAAGCCTGTGTCTTAGTCCTTCCAAAAAATGGCATCCCTCCACAGCACTTTGGCATGTGGTGGGCTACGTTTTTCCCTTTTTATTTGGAATTGTGTTTATTCTTTGCCTTAATCGTAGCATATACAAGTTTGTGTGTATCTAGCAGATGATTTGCAGGAAAGGAATAGTATACAGGGAGAGACAGTGAAAGAAATCTGATCTTTAACTTGAGCCATCTGATTTTTACTTGTTAAGGACAGTTGCAAATATAACTTAATTTAAAATAATTTAGTTTGCTCCATGCCAATGAAAAGCAACCAGTAACTAAGATGGAGTAGATTTGGCTACAACTTGTTAAGCAAAGAGTCTAGAACCTCAACACAGCATTGCGGTGGTTCTCTTTGGAAGACTGCTTGTTCAGTGCGTTTTTGTAAGCTGGCAGGTGTGCAGACCCAGTTAATGTTATTGCAGTTTGTGGAGGCACTTTTCTTATGGAGTGTCCTTTTTGGTGATAGAAGTCTACACTTAAAAAATGTGTACGTGACAAAGATAAAATCTTGAATTTGTTTTATTCTCTTGCCTACCCATTTTGTAGTTTTCTGCAGCACCCTGCTCAAGAAACAAAGTCAGTGTTATGAACTTCTGTCATGGTTTAATGACCTTAGTATATTCTTTTGCCCTGATACACACTAGTGCAAGATACAGGTTCCTGAAAGTTTGAGCTAACAATCAACATTGGAGTTTGATCAACATCTGCTGTCTGTTATTTGCAGCTCAAGCAGCAGCTGTGCCCAAAGCAAAAGCAGTTCCTCCAGCCAAGAAAGCAGAGAGCAGCAGTGAGGACTCCAGTGATGATTCAGACTCAGAGGAGGAGAAGAAGCCAGCAAAGGTCAGCCTTTCTTTCCAGCCTCTAATGCATGTTTGAGAGTGATGGGTAATAGCAAATTTGACCAGAATTCTCTCTGGGATTGGTCTTGCTTTTACTGAACTGTCAAGTGCTTAGACTGCTGCATGTGCAACGTAGAGAAGGTGTTTCTGTAGTGGACAGTGTGCCGTTTGGACTGGTCCTGTGAAAAATTAATTTCATGTCCACCACACCATTTTGTTTCATATCCAGGTCTATTAATTGCCTTTATCCTAACACTGCCAAGGTGTTCTTATTTTTTTTTTTTTACAGAGAAAGATTTACTTACAACTGCAACAAAATTTATCTTTACCTTACATATATGTGTGTCTATATAAAAAGAGAATCTTCTATTTCCTTTTTCTGCTGCAGCCATAGCCTTCAGAAGTGGGAAAGAGGAAGAATGATGTTAGTGTACAATACAGGAGAGCAACTAGAGTTGCCTAGTCAATATTTTCAGTCTTCAAACTAGCATGGTCTGCCCCCAGAGCTGCCTGCTCTTGAGGATGCAGAACTAGAGACTGAGGTGCAAAGGAAGTCTCCCATGGGCTGCTGGCAGGTTTCACAGACCAAAATTGTTATCCAGGGAGTTTGAGGCTCTAACCACTTAGGCAGACTGGTGTTTCCAAGTCAAAATGATAACCTCTGGGAAAGACAGCTGTTTATACTCTCTGTACACATGCCTAACTTATTAGCCACTTTTTTTATGGCTGCAAGGGCTAATCAATTTTTGCTCCTGTTGTTTAGAAAGGTGCAAAACCTGTGGTGAAGCCAGCTGGAACCAAAGTCCAGCCTCAGAAGAAAGCAGAGAGTTCCAGTTCAAGCAGCTCAGATGACGAAGCACCAAAGAAGCAGCCACCAAAAGCAGCAACACCTAAATTAGGTACTTCTTATTGTATATCATGAGTCAAAGTGCAAAACCAAAAAAGCTAGGGGACAAGTGATGGGGGCTGTACCTACATGCAAAGGCATCTGTATTAAGATAGCAGTTTGAAAATCTGCTGTCACTGCTATTTGAACTTCAGTCCAGTCTGCTTCTGACACGGAGGAGCTGTAGAACTGATTGCAAATAAAACATCTCATCCCATATGCTGCATTGATAGCATAAATAGCTGTAATCAGCAACCTTAACTGCTTAAGTTGTGCTTCTGCCAGTGTCTCCCCCCTCAAAAAGCAGGGAAGATCTTTACTTTAGTCATGAAACTTCTGATGACCTAGAATGAACAGTTTTCTGAAAACTTTCTCTAAGCTTGCAGTAGGTCACAACAACAGCTCTGCAGTACTGCCTTCATCTGCCCTACTGGCTTCCTGTGGTTCGTTGATGATACTTTAGGCTGAATATAATTACCCCTAATCTCCCATAGTATATTTTCTAATATCCCTTTTTACTTGTCTCAAAAGGAAGTAAAGCTGCCCAGGCAGCTGCCAAGGTGGTCAATGGAAAAGCAGCAAGCAGCAGCAGCAGCAGTAGTGAAGAGTCTGATGAGGAAAAGACTGCACCAAAAAAGGTAAACTGGCCTGTGAAAAACTTCATGAATGCTGTAGAAGTCTAGTAAGACTGAGTGTGTCTCTGTGTTGCAGGGACTGTGACATGTGTAGACAAAGGCACAGACTACAGAGATATTGAACACAGTCTTTGTGGCTGTTAAACCTCCTTTTTCTTCGTAGATAGGGCTTGTGTTCTAGCATCTCTCCACGCACTAGCTTTCTTCCCTAATACCTCCTCACCACTTCCTTCTACTTTTTCCTTTTACAAGAAAACATCTCATCGTGTAGTAACCATGTTGTTTCCATTATGTGTTCACTTTTGCATCTCTAACTTCGAGTTTTTCATTAGGGAATGATTAAAAACGTTTTCTGCAATACAAAAATAATCATAGTTGTGTTTATTCAACTGGCAGTTGCTACCATTTTGGTCAGTTTTGTTCCCCTTAGTCAGAAGAGCTCCACATTAGGGATACATGTGGCAGAAAACAACAGTGGAGTGGCTAGAAAGATCAAGATGCTCATGTGTTGCCTGAAATTTGCATTTGAGAATCTTATTAATGTTTTTCCCTTTGTCGTCAAAATTTGTTCCCTTGACAGATGCTTAAACAAGATCCACATCCAGCAGTCCCCACAAGTTTTCTGTACTTTCTTTTTTTTTAATGTTTGTTTATTCTTGTAATAAGGCTGTTCCCAAGAAATCACCTCTGCCAAAACCTGCAGCCACTCAAGCATGTCCAGGGAAAAACAAACGTGCCAAGGAAAGTTCCAGTAGTGAGGACTCATCTGACAGCTCAGATGATGAAAAGCCACCCGCAAAACAAAAGCTGAAGCCTGGTAAGTACTAAAGCCCATTGCTGCTACATGGGAGGATGCTCTCTGCTAGTCCCACTGCCCCTGGAGGAGTGTGCAGGACATGGACAAGTCTTGCTGCACACAAGGTTCCAGGTGATGCTCGTGGGGGTATTGTGAAGCAGAAATGCAGCAGCTTTTTTGTGTGCTGTCAGGGGCAAGCTTACAATTTAGCTCCTCCCTCATAAGAGATGAGGACTGGGAGAGACTGTGACAGACTCTTCTAAGTTTGCTGCATTTCTTCTATTCATGTAGCCTTTAAGGACATTTCTTGCAGGTTTCCTGTCTACCAGGATTTGGGAAGTAATTTGCCAGTGGTTTGTTTATTCTATCACTGCAGTAATTTAAGTTTTTTTAGGTTTTTCGTAAAGTATCCAGTATTCAGTTGCAGCCCAGCTGATAGGCTAAGTGGGCCTCTGTTCAGTATAGCATAGTGCTTTCAGGGTTCCAGGAGAGAGCTGATGTGAGTAGAGAATCCAACATCAAAACTCAGTCTGATTCTTTAGCCAGAGGGTTTGAGGAAGCAGTAAATGAAAACAATCAACAATTGACATTTCTGCTTTTCGTTTGTTTGTTTCTGAGAAAGCTCCCATTCTTCCTAAAGTGCAGAGGAGATTTCTGCAAAAATATTTGGGTCAGCTGAACCCCAAGAGGAGAGTTAAACTCACAGTACAAACAAGGTAGCACTGGGGTTGATGTAATCTTTCAAATGATAAGCTTGTATCTTTGACTATAGCTACAGAAAAGGAATAAATGGAACCAAAGAGCAGAAGGATTTTATTCAGACTTACAACAAATGTCTCACATGTGCTGCTTGTAGGCATCTGAATGCTGTATGTCTCTTTGTAGGTCAATACAGTGCTGTACCACCTCCTCAAGCTAAGCAGACCAAGAAGGGTGTTGTCAAGGCTCCTGCAAAAAAGGCTGAGAGCAGTGATTCTTCAGACAGCAGTGATGAGGAAGAGCAAGAGACCCCAAAGGGAGGAGTGGGTATGTTGTGAGGAGGCTGCAAAGGATGTATGAACTTACGTAGACAGTGTTTGGTGATCTGTTGGGTCTCCTTGGAAAAGCTGTATGATTTTGGTCTGTGTTGCTGTTTGTTTCTCTGGAAGCTTCTGAGTAACTTGAAGGTATCCCAAATGGAACACCGTGTGCAACCTCTGGATTCAGACTGTGTGCAAGTTGGATTACTTCGGGTGCGCTGGTTTGAAGAGTCATTGGGATCTAGTTTAGTGGGAAAGAGCCTAGCCCATTACTGCAGCTGGCCAGGTCCTTGCTTGACTTGTGATGTTTGCTGGATGAATGGCTGGTGCACTGGGTAGGGGGCTTTTTCTCATCTGGAAAGTTTTGGATCTTGTGATAAAGGTTGGTGTGGGTGCAGCCTGTTAATTTTAAACTTGCTTTTGCAGGCAAAAAAGTAGTAGCTAAGACAACCCCTGCCCCCAAAACCAAAGTTATGACTACCAAGAAGGCTGCATCCAGTTCTGACAGTGACTCAGGTAACTGAAGAAACAAATTTTCAATTTTTTTGTTGATGTTTTTATCGGCCAAGTGGCTATATAGCAGTGTATCTGCCAAGATTGTTAGCCTATAACCTCAGAAACTTCAATTTCTGTTGCAAACAAGGTGTGAAATTGAAAAGGAGCATATGGCTCCTGTGGTTTGTTTATGATACTTTATGCTGAATATAATTACCCCTAATCTCCCATAGTGGAAGATGGTGGAACCTCACCATGAGACACCAAGGAGATGGTTGGCACATGCAGAAAGGTCTGCATGCTGCTGGTTGGAAAGGGTGGGGCATCATGTATCAGGTTTCTCCAGGACGGTTAATGAAACTTTGTGAGGATCTATATCTTAAGCCTTTTGGTTGGTGTTACCCTATTATGGGCTTTATGAGAAGTTTCAAAAATCATTTATCACCATACCAAGTTAAAAGTATACTCGAAAGATGCATTCTCCTAATGTGACCCTAGAAATAGGGATCACTGTGTTTTGTATCTTCTGCTGAGCAAGTTTAATGTTTGCAGTGCTGCATTTTCCCACATAAATTCCTTACATGCTCCATCTCCCCTCCTGGTTTGACTTTTTTCAGATTCTAGCTCTGAAGACGATAAGAAGATGGCAGGGGGTAAGCTGCCGGCTAAACAACCTGTGATAAAGAATACTCCCAAACCAGCAAAAGTAGCTGTCAAGCCTGGACAAGCAAAGAAAGACTCCACTTCGTCCTCGGACAGTTCAGGTATTGGGATAAATGAGAGTTTCTGCATGTGTGTTGTGTTTGCCCAGACCTCTGTGTTTCTGGGCAGGGTATGAGGGTGCAGTTGGACATTGCAATGTTATTTCAAGCTTCTAATGAAGTGCATTGTGCACCAGCATTAAACCTGCATGTTAGATTTTTGGTAAGGAATGGGGCCTGGCCTTGATTATTGTTTTCCTTTCCTCCAGATTCTGATAGCTCTGCCAAGAAGGCAGCTGTGAAGCCTGCAACTAAAGCAGCAACCCCTGCAACAAAAAAGTTACAAGCTGCCACAAAGAAAGCACAAAGTAGCTCTGACTCAGCCAGCAGCTCCAGCAGCTCTGAGGATGAGAAGAAGAATGGCACTCCAGCTAAATTAGCTGGCAAAGTGGCTAAGCCAGTGTCCAAACCTTCTACCCCAGCTGCCAAAGCAAGTACATCTGACTCTGATAGTTCAAGCAGTGAAGAAGAAGAAAAGAAGCCAGCAGTGAAACCAGCCAGCAAATCTACAGGGGCAGCAAAAGCTACTATAAGAAAGAAGTCAGCTGCTTCTAGTAGTAGTAGCAGTTCATCTGATAGTTCCAGTGAAGAGGAAGAGAAGCCCAAAAAGGCAGGGAAAGGTGCACAGAACACTTCTAAGACCAGTGCCTCCACAGGGAAAGCAAAAGCATCCAAACCAGCAGCAAACAACCTGAAGTCTAAGCCAGCTGGTGGCAGCAGTAGCAGCAGTGAAAGCAGCTCTGAAGAAGAGACTGGAAAAGTCAATGGAGGTATTACCTACAGTCTGGCAGGTGGGCCTGTCAGGCAGTGTTACTGAACTAAGCATGCATGGGAGCCTTTCTGAAACAGTGTTCAGTCTGGTCTCTATAGGTTGCTAGATTCTGCCAGCTGGTGCAGCACTGAGGGAAAGTCTAGTTTTTAATGTGGTGTGATCCTTTTTTGTCTCTACTGCCTGTCTGCTGGCAACAGAATTTGTGGTACTGTGAAGCACATTTCTGTACAGTTGTTGTCAGTTGCCATTTGTGCACACATGAGATTGTTAGTGACAGCAAGGCAGACTGCTGGGGACCTTGTCTGTTAAGTTGGACACTGTAGGTGATGCCCCAGTGCATAATGTCTTGATCCCCCTAGGAAAGAAACGACTTTGCACAAGTGTGTGCAAGGGCATACTGTGTGATTCCAAGATCTGACAAATTTTAGCCAATAGAACTTTCTCAGGTGCACTAAATCATTAATATAGTGATATCCTGTTCCCCAAAATTATCCATTAGAATAGGATCGCAAAATCCTTACTGACTCAGAATGGTTATTAATGTCTGTTATAGCAGTCTGTTTTCTGGGTGAAGTAATTCAGGGACTGATTCTTACACTTGTATCAACACTGGGTTTGCATTCTGGGAGGATAATGCCATGGCTCTTCCCAATGCTACAGTTACTTTCTTTGAAGTTTTGCTGTTGTATCTCTTAACAGGCACAATTGGGAAAAAACAGAAGAGGGAAGATGATGTTCAGGAGCCAGAGACACCTCACAGTAAAAAGGCGAAGATCAAAGCCAAAACGCCACACACAGTTCCCAAGGTGAAACAGGTGAGTGAGGATGGACTGTGGTGACTGGTGGGAGAAGCATCTCTGCCTCCTGAACCAGTAGCCTTGTTTGGGGTTTTTTGAGGAGGTTTGGCCCACAGGCAAAGGTTGATTGGAGCATCACAGTGCTGCCTGATCTGTAAAGAAAAAGATTGACTCAGAGAAATACTTAAAGATTGAGGTGATGTGGACAGGGCTCTGTATTTGCAGGGCAAGGAGAGAAGGATGTTGTCACTAAGGGAATATTACGCATGTGTGTGCACCCACTGTATCTTGTTTTCTGTCTCCGTAACAGCCAGCCTCTCCATTCCGCCGAGTAAGGGAAGAAGAGATCGAGGTGGATGCCCGTGTTGCTGATAACTCATTTGAAGCAAAGGTAGGGCTAGGTAGTGGCCTGAGTGGTAACACTTGGCCTCTGCAAATGCACTTCTGCAGAGCAGCCTTGGTGTGCTTGTGGGCAGTCTTTTTGGTGGAACATTTTCCACCAGGAGGTGCTGTTAGGAGGTGTGTGAGCACTGGCAGGTGGTGCATGGGAGAGTGGTATCTGCTCCAAGGTTAATGTACTGATGTTTGTTGGGTAGGAGCATGAAGTGCAAAACATTGCCTTTACTCTCTTGGACACTGACCTGTGTTTCCTTTTCGTCTTCCCCTTCATCCCTCACAGAAAGGAGCAGCTGGCGACTGGGGTGAGAAGGCTAACAACATCCTGAAATTCACTAAAGGCAAATCTTTCCGCCATGAGAAGACAAAGAAAAAAAGAGGCAGCTACCGTGGGGGCACTATATCGACTCAAGTCAATTCTGTCAAGTTTGAGAGTGACTGAGAATGTTTCCTTGGGAATTCATAAACCATCTGCCCACCAGAATGGTTTGGATGGGCATGTGGACGTTACGGATGTCAACCTGCCTGGAATGCTACCTCCCTTATCCCATTGTGGGGCAGGCAGCTCCAGCGTGGGGATGTGAGAGAATGGTTGGACATCTTCCCTTTTATTTCTAATTCTGGTTTAGGCCCCTAATTTGGAACCGTCCTTGAGCTGGTGTGGCACCACTATGGTGACCTCCAAGACCTTAATTTTCTACAGTCTTATTTTAAAAGGCTGGCAGTGATTTTTCATTTTGGTTTCCTGCCCATCTAGTAGAAGTTATTCTCCTGTATAGTAGCCTCCTACTTTTTCAGCTAGTTTAATTTGGATACCTGTGAAATGGCAAGTATTGTAACTTGCCTTTGGCTAGTTACTGTAAGAGCAACACTGATTTGAACCCTCTGACTGTAATCCCCACCCCCATCTGGCATTTCAAGTTCATTGTTGCAGTGTGACAAGGTTCCTCTTTTCTGTTTCCTTCTTTTATGGTTTCACCTTGCAATAAATTCCTACCTTCTTCCTTCCGCTCCTGTTGAGGCCCCATTAACCATAGTGCTTAGAAAAGCAGAGACTAAATACACCTTAGGAGTTAAATTACTGTATCATTTGCAGTTGCAAGTCAGGAGCTGTTGTCAGACCAATGTCTGCAGTACTGCTGTGGCACTCTTAACAACAGTTTCATTGGGGATGTAGCTTGGGAGTGGAGTTGTGTGGCAACACTTGACTGCATGGAGGTTGACGTTTGACTCAGTGGGAATAGGTAAGGAGGCAGAGGCGATAAAGCTCTCTTATCTACCCAGATGCTTTTTGCTGTTTGTCTCAGAGGCTCTGACTGCAGTGTGGCATTACTCCTTGTTTTCTCTGAACATAAGATGTGCCAGCTTAGGCTTCTCCCAGCAATGTGCCATGTGGCTTGCTAGGAGTCAAGATGAATGTATGATTAATGCCTTAAATATCTTCTGGGTTTGATCATTTGTTCTTTGAGCTGTTTCCCATCGGTTAAACCCCTATCAAGAAGTAAAATGCCAGTTTCCCCATAGCACTAAGCACAAAGTCTGGTGCTGTAAGGTTTGAAGTGTTAGCTTTCTAGTACATGTTCAGTATAGGGAGCCTCATGAGTTAGTAACTAGCATTTTCAAGAGCAGCTGATAATATAATGGCTTACTGCTGTTGAGAGGAGGACACTCCCTCCAGTTGTGTGCCTGTCTCCTCACTTCTGGTGCAACTTACATCTGGTAGAAAATTATTACTCCAACTACTTTTCTGTCAGATGGGTTAAGTTAGTTCTAGTTTGTGGAGCCATTTGCTGAATCCATAGCAGTATGAATTGAACAGTGGTTGTGCAGGTTTGGGAAACAAGGTACTGGGCTGTGAGAACTGCTCACCCCAACTCATGAAACTGCCAGCTACCAGGAGAGGTTATGCAGGGCCTGATTTCCATGTTTCCACTCCATTTCATCCCTGAAGGGTGACAAGGAAACTATATTTGTGAGCAAAGCAGTGTCACCTAATTGAGGGTTGGATGAGGCTTGATGAGCCATCCCCATAAACATGAGCTGTAAGTTGTTCCAATAAACATTATTCAGGACTTCTCATCTAGCTTACACAATCATTCTGGTGCCTGGATTCTAGGCTACAGTGCAGAGGGGCCCATGAGACCACAATTAATGCAAGGAATTTAAGTTTAGAGGCCAAAGGAAGGTGGGAAAAGAGTCTTCTCTGCCTGGGAATTTGAATGTCCTCTTGCTTGTGATGTCATTTAGCCTCTTCTGTTTATCAGGAACTTAAATTTTTAAAAACTTTTATATTTTGGGGGTATTTTAAGTGTGAGAGTTTTAAAGTGCTGAAAAATAAAGATTGCTGCCTTTGTAATCTGAGTGGGTCTGGTAGTTAAAGGTTTGGAATAGCAGGTGGGAAGAGAGCATGTTGGTGCTGGGGGTAATACAGCACTGTACATCTGTCCACAACCACTTGTCTCATGCACATGTCTGTTAACAGGCCTTCAGAAATGAAAGATGGCCTGTGCTGTGGCTGTCAAGTGGCTGCAAGAAAATTGGATAAAACTCTAGAGGAATATTTGCTTATACCAAGAAAATCAGGCTGCTGGAGGCCCTTCCCACCAGACCATCTGGTTAGCTCTTCTCAAATACTGCTACCAAGTTCACTGTATGGCAGCTGACAATATAACTTAAGTAGCACCAGCCTATGGGAATAAGAATAGGCATAAGTAAAAAGTTCTGTATATACCTGTTTAAAAGAATGAATCTTTTCCTGCTCTGTGACTATGTGTACAGGGAAAATAAACTTGCTAATAGATGGGGTCTGATGGAGGCCTTGTGTGTTCTAGTGCTTATTTTTATCCCTTATGCTGCTTCTCTGTGGAAAGGTTGGGATGACTGTCCAGGTGTTTTGGGCTATTGGTTGCTCTGTAACTGATGCTGTGCCATGGCCTTCCACCTGGAACATGATACAGGAGATGTAACTACCTGAAGTTTTTGCAGCAGATGCAAAGAATGTTCTGGAGCTTGGCACCTGCCTGAGCAAGCCACGTGCTGAGTAGGGGGGAAATGCTTTGTGAGACTCTCAAAGCAACATGCTCTTTAATATGCTTGACACTGGGAAAACCTGCTCCCTTTACATGCTTTTGCAGCTGTTAATCAGCCTTAGCCTTTAACGCTGCTCTCTGCTGCTGTCCTGGAGTAAAGGAAACACCTTGGGCCTGGTGCCTCTGTGCATCACTGGGGCACTTTCAGCTGGAACTGGATTATAGGACGACCCTTCTGGCATGTGCTGTACCTGTGTGGGTGTTCGCTGCCTCCTGCCCAGTGCGCTGTCCTGGCTAACTCGCACATGGCCTCAGGACACCGCAGCCTCCTGTTCTCCCTTCCCGGAGCTGCAGAGCGGGTCCTGCCCCTCTTGCTGTCTGAGAAGAGTCCTGCACCGGTCACCGACGAGATGTTTTGACACAGTGGTCTGGCAGGGGACACCGGAAGCCCAGCGCTGCGTCTCTGCCTGCGGCAGCGGGCACTGTC